TGGGAGTTGAAGTCCACTCATCTTAAAGTGGCCAAGTTTGGACAACACTGGTCTAGACCAAAGAGAAATACAAGAGTGCTTCAACTGGAAGCCTTATGTATTGTTCAGTTTCTTCTACAAAGCCTCTGGCATATTCTCAGCTAATAGCAGATGCTCACGAAAACAGTTTGTGCAGAATATTTGCATTAAGAGGCAACATAATCATATTTCCTCCCAACCTGTTTTTGATTTAGGCCAGGTTCCTGTGCAGGCTCCACATCACTTGAAAAATACACATCTTCCAATGAATTCCCAGATGACACACTAAACTTTATCAAAACACATTCTCTCATGGATGAAGCAGTACCATCAATTGTCAACAAGCCATGGTTTCTGCGTACAATGGTCAGGTAAATAGCTTTCCTTCCTATTTCTTTCACTGGGGGTTCTGTTCTACCCCCAAATCTGAGACTGCACTCTTAATTTAGAACTCCCACATGTCTGTCATTAATCTAGGACCTTAATTGATAATTGGTTAAGCAAATAGGGCAGTTCCTGGTGGAAGCCCTAAAAATCAGTTCTGAGATCAATATGATTTAAAATATTGTTGTAAAATAATCTGAAGTCAATAAAGTAAGTATATACATGTGATCAAATTATTCAGGATGCTGGAATCCCATGAAGCCTTCAAAGAGATCTAATAGAATCTCTCTCAACTGAACTGGCTATATTTTGAAATCTAATGCTGAAATAGATGGATCATTGAAATAGTCAATTATGACAGGTTTCAAGTTTTTATGAGCTAGAATAGGAATGAGGTGATTGTCATAATACTGTTAGATAAGCTGTAGTGACTAGAAAAATGTTACTAATTTCTACCAGGTTTCCCTCAAACCATATCTCAAAGGAAACACTAACTTCTGTGTTTACATTTGAGTCATAATTTTAAATGACTCAAATAGAAAATTCTGAATAAAACGATCAGGTAGCTGAAGGGAACATTGGCCGGATATAAAATTTCTGGTGGGATGTTGTCAGGATGTACTAAGGTCTGTCAGGATATGTTAAGGAAGCTCCAATGTTTACACAAATGTTCAGAGGGTGTTGTTGACATCCAAATAGTCTTGTGTCAGCATAAGGAAAAAAACAAGACTTTCCTCCTTCAAGGATATATAAGCCAGCAGCCTTCAGAATCTGTAATTTAGAATATCTGGAAAATATACCAACTGATATGTAAACTTTATTTTACAAGTAGATTTACACATTGCTTTATTCATACACATTCACATATATGAAAGTGTTTAAAGATAGTTTGGGGGGGGTGTTTATACAGGTTTGAAGAAACTGGTTTTCTGATTAAGAATCCAACAACATTAAAAATATGTTAATCATTTTCACATTGTAAAGCACAAGCATAGTTTTGCACATACGTGTGCCCTTCATATTGTATTTCCACGATGTGCAGCATTTTGATTCAAACCAGGCAAAGGTGTTGCACATTGCTCCTTCAAGCAGCTGCTGACTGATAAAATGAAGGTGTATATGCATGATCCAAAACACCTTTATCAGAGAGATTGTGTGTCTAAAAATCCATGCAATAAACTTCAGTCAAACTTGGAAACAGTCAAAAGTTATAATACAACACTCTTCAGATGTGTTGTACAGCACTGAATAGATAGATAAATCAATCTTGTGATAGTTTCATCTTGACCCAGGCTAGACCTGATTTTGTGCTGGGAAAAGAATTTCTATCCATGTTAAGTGTAGAATTGTGTTTATGTCTGAGTAGATTTTCAAGAGAGACTATTGTGGCAATTAAAACTATAATGCTGTCATTCCAGATACCGTTTGACGAAAATTGCTGTAGATAATGCTGCTGGCCCAAATCAGAATCATACTGTGGTTTTCCTTGGATCAGAGAAAGGAATTATTTTGAAGTTCTTGGTCAGGACAGGGAACAGTGGTTTTCTAAACGACAGCCTTTTTCTGGAGGAGATGAGCATATACAATTCTGAAAAGTGCGTATCAATGGTTATTTCTTTCATTACATTATTTAGCAACAAAATAGTCCTGAATTCCTTATCTATTGCTTTTATCCTCAAGGGGGAGAATCCCTAGGGCAATTATTTTTTATGATTTAATTTTAAATACATTATTCTCTTTTGTATTGTTATAGACTTTAATTTCCTTATGGAAAAAAAGGTTTAAAGCAAACTTCCCAGTAAATAATTATACTACAGAAATGAGTGTATACATATAGAGGTAAAATGCAAATAGTAGAATGTGAGGCATTCAAAGAGATTCCTTCTCATCCCTGAGAAAATTATTTGGGTTTTCTTTGAACTTCAGTCCAGTTGTTACTGGGCATCAGTATATTGCTTCCTGTCTCCACTTCCATTTAAAAAATGTATTTATTTTAAAATATATATATTTTAGGCTGCCTTTCATGCCATGTATTCAACTGAAGAGAAAGCAAAACTTGTGTCTTGGTTGAGGTGTTGGATTAGACTCAGGTTCAAGTATATCTTCAACCACGGAAGCTGATTGGTTGACTCTAGTCAGTCACTCTTTCTTAGCTCAATCTGCCCAACAGGGTCATTGTGAGAAACAAAATTGTCCCTGGGGTAAAGACAGGATATAAACAAATGCCTAAACTGCTAAGGAATGTTTACAAACCAAGTGGCATCTACAAACACCCATTAAGGCCAGAGGGGAATTTGAGGGTATTAAGGGGGCCTCAAGATATGTCATATGTCAGGGTACGTCATTAGCTTTGTCAGGAGGCAAAGCCTTCATTTATGTGACAATCAATCCATTCAACTCCTCCCATATACCCACAGCCATGCAATTCTCAATAACCATAGATAATTTCCTGGAAAAAAGGTATATGTGCTTCCAAATTTACGAAGAACTACTAATAGCATGACTAATTCTTTTTGGCCTGAATAAGAAAAAGGAACATTGAGATGACTTGAAAAGCCAGTTTATTTAATTGACAGATTAAAACAATACATAAACATGTCCAAAAAGTTTCTGAGAATTTTGTTTTGCTCCTTTTCTGTTGTCCTCTACTTTTGGAGTCAGCCTGTATAAACACTTTCTCTTATTTTAGATCCAAATTTCCATTCAAGACTCTCCCATTCTGCATTTTGCCTTCATACTGGCCATCAGTGCTATACTTTGTCCCTTCTTCCCAGGGATCTGATAAACACTGTTGCATATAGTTGTGAAGTTAGCTCTTAGAGTGAAGGCTGAAAGAGTGAACTAGAGATTTTGGCCATGCATAAAGACTACATATATTTTTGCTCCTTGTTTTTTTATGCCAAAATGGTTCATAAAGGCTTCCTTTGCATGTAGAAGAATGAAAAGCAAAGCCATTCCCTTTCTCAGTTTATGACCGCTGTGAGTTTATTAGGATATTCCTCAAAATATGGCTCAATTATATGATGGCTGCAGAGTGAAAGGTGAGGAATAGATCCTTTTCCTCCTACCTGTTCCCCAGCACCTTCTTCCGTAGGTTGTCCCAGATCGATACCAGAAGGGAAAGACAAATCATATCTGTGGCTCTCTAACAATTTACATTGCCTCCCATTTATTTGATTTCTTTAAATTTTCAAATAAAAAAATTGGCTCATATAATAAAGGATTTGAATTAGGTCATCCAAAGGTATTATTCTAAGTGGAAAATGTGTATGCAACTGATTTTATTCTTTCTTAGAAATATTTCTTTTATAATCACAGTTTTCAAGAGTGATGGAAATGACCGTTTCCCCTTCATCCAAATTAGGTGCAGCTATGATGGGGTGGAAGACAAGAGAATTATGGGTATGCAACTGGACAAGCAAAGCAGTGCCCTCTATGTAGCATTTTCAAACTGTTTGATAAGAGTTCCTCTGGGAAGATGTGAGCGTCATGGCAAGTGCAAAAAGTATGTATTCCTTGATATCGCTTCCTCCTCAATACATACATTGACATGTTGATGCTGACACAGAAGTAGTAATAGCAAAGAATGTCTAGAATGATCTATACATGTTTCCTCCATTAAGGGCCTGCATAGCTTCTAGGGACCCATACTGTGGATGGATGAAAGAAAGTGGAGCATGCATGCAGCTTCTACCTGGAGCAACGTAAGTTTTAATTGGCCTTGGGAGAATGTATACATTTCAGTTATAATACTGAGCAACACACTTTTGAACATGACTTAGAAGCTTCACTGAAAACCTACACAGAAATGTGCCTGACAAAAAAGGGGAAAAAAGGAAGGAATATTTGTATTATTTTTATTGTCTCTGCTTCCAGAGTAGTATTTCACACAGACTTCTTTCTGATTAAGGATGAAGATACATAAATATTAGGGCTGTGCAGTGCTTTGGATTCAATAAGTTCTGCATCTTTTAATCAAAAAACGTTACCCCAAAAAACAAAAACTAAACCACAGTCTAAACTGAGATAAGAATTAGAAAGTTCCTCTTACATCTTCATCATTACAACATTGTTATAAAGAAACTAGTGCTGTATTAGCTCAACATAGGATTGACCTAGTCTGGCTTGTTGCTTGGGTTTTTCATCTAGTTTAAAAGGTCCTCTCATGATAAATCAGATTGTTCTCAGTTTTTCCAGCTCAAGACTAATACTGACTTGCTAGTCTCTAACATTTCCTGTCTCCTGTTTGGAGCACGTAAGCCATAAAATGAGCCTTGGATGCCCTATGATTTTGGAAGATAAGTGCTGCTGTGTTCATTTCAAGTTTGCCAAGTTTCATCAAAAAATTATAACATCATAAAGTCTAACCTTAACCCTAAACCTGTCATGCTTGTTCTTTCTAGGCTACTTGGAGACATTTACATGGGGAGTAATATAAAATTATAATTGATATTATTCATATGGGCAAGTTGTTTTACCAGTAGTCTAGCCCCAATTTGCACCACTTGTTTTCAAAGATTGCATCAGAATGTGTTGCAATAGTTTAATTGATTGGTGATCAAGACATGGGTGGTCCACATGGGGTTGCAACTGGTGCATCAGCCAAAGCTTGGTAAAGGCCTTTCTGGCCACAGCTTCCATCTGCTGCTTGAGAAGGAGCTGAAAGTTCAGTAGGATCCCCAAGTCACAACCCATGTCTTTTGTGGGGAGCATGAACCCATTCAGAGTAACTGTTAGAGTCAATGTTGTCAGATCATTCAGATGTTTACTGACAGCAGCTTAATCTTGTTAGGATTTAAATTTGAACTTATTTTGCCCCATCCAGATCCTCACAGCCTCCAGATATTGGTTCAGGATTTCCATAACATCTCTGGCTTGCCCCAGAGTAGCAAAGCATAATTGGGGATCATCCTCACTCTGAGCCAATGCATGACTTCTCTCAGATACTGGACAGCACAGGGAGAAGCACAGAGCCTTGACAGGTGTCATACTGGAATGTCCATCAATTCAGGCATTTTCCCCCCATGACCACTTCCTAGAATCACCCACTAGGTAGAAGTGGAACCACCATGGAATGATTTCCCACCCCCAGCACTTGTTGGAGGTCCAGAAGGATACCATAGGCAGCAGTATCAAATGCCACCAAGACTACCCCTACATCTAGATCCCAATGAAAGTCATCCACCAGAGTGACCAATGCTGTTTCTGTCCTGTTACTGGCAAGGATCCAGATAATCAATTTGCTCTAGTATCCTTTGTAGTTGATTTACTACCAATTTCTAGACAGTCTTCTCTGGAAAAAGAAGTTTGGCATGTGAATAAAAGTTATGGACAGGAATCTCTCTGCTTCAAGAGAGCTTATGTTACCATCTCCTTTTAGGCAGGTATCATTTGTCTTTCATTTGTGAATGTCTAAAGTATTGAACTTAGATTATTTTAACATAGCAGCCATATCAAATATCACCTGAAAATAGCAGCTGAGAAGTACGTGGATGGTTCCTTATTTAATTTGGATGTTAAAGGATAGTTGTGTATCTTAACATTTACCTGTCCCTCCATCTCTTTCTCCACACATACCCATGCATGCATTCTATTGGAATAACAGCTTCACTAATTCTCCCTCTCTCTGAAGACTCCTGTATCTCTGCTCATCTCTAACTTTGGAGAACCTTGAAAAATATTGGGAGTGAATTACATTGAGAAATATAACTGGTGAAGAACATTTTCTCCTTTTCTCCATTGCCTTTGGGAATAGTCCTGGTGGCAAGAAAAAGCTCTTAATGCAATCTTGTATTTTTAAAGAAAAACATTCATATAGAAATGTTCTCCTAAAGGAATAATTGAAGAGTAAAGCAAAATGAATTATTTTGCACTTGCATTGTGCAACTATTAAAAACATAACTTTCTTTCTTATTTCATTTGTTGTTTCTATGAATTCTATGTGGTGGAGCACATATGTATATTAATTTACACTATTCTTTGTTTCTTTCTGTTATTTAGATTGGCCTTTGAGCAGGACATAGAACATGGCAATACTGATGGCTTGGGTGACTGCCAAAGTAAGCAAAAGCATTTTACTCATTTATTTTAATTTTACATGAGAGAAGCTGTATAAATGTTTCATTGCTGTTAACCCAGAATCAGCAACGGCAGAAAAATATATAAAAAAAGAAATCCATAGCAATAATGGAAACAGCACAAGGCAATTTACTTTGTTTTTTTAAAAAGGAAACATTTAAGGAAATGGGGTTTACAAAAATACCATATGTTCAGATGGCAGTCATTTTGGAATTAAAATCTAGCTCTGAAGAAAATTTAGAGATTTCCCTTAAGTTGTGTGTCAAACATGAATTAATAATGGTGATTGCTTTTGAAGTTTGAACAAGAAAGTAGAGCTATGCAGCCATCAGGAAGGGGAGCACATATTTAACAAAACAGATATAGCTCTTTCATCTTTATTTTTTATGTATGAGTGAAACCAGAATCCCTGATATGCAGATTATGACACAGGAGACAGTGAGCTCTTTAAAACTTGATAAGATATACTTTAATACTATCTTTAGTTTGAAATATACTTGTCTTTCTAGCAACAGTAATACAATCACAAAATTCAATCAGATTTAGCTTAAACAATGGGTCAGCAATATAGGCATCCATGATGATCCTAGATTTCATCCATTGACCTTCATTTTTTTTTTGATGATGATGATGATGATGATGATGACAGCGACAACAACAACAACAACAATAGTGGCAATCAAATCTTTTAAGATCTTTATGTTCTAATTTGGAGTCTCATATTTTGGCAACTTTTTAAAAAAAAATTGGGGGGTGCTTGTGACATTGTACAAAACAATGTGGTGCTCTAGATCAAAGACATACTCTGGCAGCTGTTGCAGACTAAGAGAATGGGAGGTTCTGGCATTTGCTATGGATCCCATGTTATTGTTGTTAACCATTGTTGTTGTTATTATTATCATCATCTTAAAAGATCATCATTATCCTTTTTGGCCCATCATTTTGTGTACTATAGAATTTTCTGGAATTGACATTAAATCATTCTCAAATACTGTGGGTGAAAAAGAACACTGTCTCATATTTTTGCAGGAGAAAACCCACCAAGCATGAGGTTACCATTCTCTGGCAACTATTA